GCATGCCAGCTGTGTTCTTTGTACCTTACACAGAAGGGAAATAGCATCTGCATACCAGCGAGCATTGATTGGCAAGTTCATTCCCCAATATAAATTCGGTATTATTCCCATTTTGCAAAGAAGAAATTAAGGGTCAGGAGAACTAAAAAGGCAGTGGACCTGGGCAGACTTTTAAACTCCGTATCAAATGAATAAAAGGTTGGCATTTCTGCACATATAAGTGGGTCTCCTACTTTATCAGATCATTCTTTGGAAAGGTTCTTAGCTCTATTTAGAGGTTTACTACATTTACTGCATTTCTTTTCAAAAGCTGGGCCCACCAATGAGGCCATGTTTACACTTGAGTCTTGCTATGGCAAACATTTGTCATTGTATAGTTTGGGTAACTGAACTTGGTATTTGTTTCCCAATTTACCACTTAATTTACAGCTGTTCTAGATTCTGTTTTCCTTTATCTTCTTAAGTGTTCTCTTTAATCCATTCAAGGTATTTCCTTGGCTAAGGGAAGTGTCCATATTCCCTCCTCACACTTAAGTGCTCACAGAATGTAAGGAATTCATTATTTTCAAAGTCTCCAGAAGCCTGTGAGGCAGGCCCTATCATTATAGATAAGTAAACTGATGCAGGAGGGGGAAAGGAGCAGGGGACATGGGTAAAGATGCTAAAAGCAGGCTTCGTAGAGTGTTTACTAGGCTTTACCTCATGTTAACCTCTGAGCTCCCACTGACCCACCTGTAATATGGGTCTTACCATGGACTTGTTATGCAGGATGACCGGACATGCTGGAGATCAGCACAGCACTGTTAGCTGATGAGGAAACACACTTAAAAGTGTGTGTAGATCAATCTTTAGGTAAGCTCTTCACCCATGGGACTTGAACTCACGACCCCAAGACCAGAGTTCCATGCTCTACCAAACCAGCCAGGTGCCCCACACTTTATGACCCATTCTTCACTTGCACAAAATTTTAATGACAGTAACCTCTAAGTACAACTGTTTACTGCACGTCCCCTTTAAGGTCTTAAAGATGACCATCCCTTACCTTACCTAATCCATCTTATTTTTGAGCTTTAGGAAGAGGTAGTGTGCTGTATGCAATTTACCAGGACTTGTTCTTAATCTAACCTTAAGAACTCCTGTATATCCACAGTTCATCATTGAGGATCATTTTATTTTCCGGCTGATGGACTTGAGGTTTTTAAGTACTGCCTAAACATTCCTAAAGATGCATCCTGATGTCCTTATGTAGTTACTCTTGGGTAGTAACACACAGAAGCAGAATTGCGGATTGTGTTCAATTGTGTAAGGTACACCAGCCACTTACCCATCTGGTTCTAAACACTAATGGTTTTGGACAGTGGACAGTTGGGGCTAGGACATCCTGCTTTTCACCAACTCTTGATCTCTATTATAATAGAGAGGAAAGGGCAAGATGTTTTGGGGGCCTGGCACTTAATAGGTGCTCTGAAGACAAAGTAACCATGATTTATAAATCCAAATCTTAGGGTCCCCTGGCATTTTGAAGTGAACCAGTCTCCACATCAGTACTCAGCCATCCCCCTCCCCAAAGGTTACTTTGTTAGGGTCAAACAGATTTGAATTTTGGTTTTAAACTTTGTGTAAATGGGGACTCGAACCTGAATTTTTTTTTTTTTTGAGAAAGATTATCAGTAAAAGAGAAGCAGATTCCCCACTGAGCTCAATCCCAGGACCCCAAGATCATGACCTGAGCCCACGGCAGAAGCTTAACTGACTGAGCCACCCAGGTGCCCCAAGAGACCTGAATTTTCACCACTCCTTCAGTATTGAATTACAAGCCTAGGGATATAGCAGTATTCTACCTCTGACGACTCGGCATAGCTCAAAAAACTTGTAGCCAGGATTTTACTTGGGATTTTTAAGAGGCCTTGATTATACTAGAACCATGGACTCTTACTCCTGTCAAAGAGACAAACCGTGTGGTCATGAACTCATACAGGTGACTCCGACAAGACATCCGCTCTGATCCCTCTCCCACCTCTCCAGGCAGTTCCCGATGCAATATTAGGTATTCATGGCACAGCATCTGGCTGGTGCACTACTTCTCACCATGAGTTGGTGGTGGCAGGGGGGAAAACCCAGCTCTGGTGTCATACCAGAAAAGGCTGGCATCCAGTGCTACAGAAGGGAGATCGTCTGTACATTGCACATCCCCAAACTGGCAACCAACAGCAACCAAGAGTTCAGCTTTTTTATTGAGCAGCTTATACAAGTGGTTTAGTCAAAAAGACCAAAGCCCATGTCATCATCAGACTCCTCAGATTCTTCTTTCTTTGCTTCCACTTTCTTCTCCTCAGCTAAAAAACAGAAACAGTCAATCACACACCTGCTGATTATTTTAAACTCCAAAGAGCTCCAGGCCCTTCAACTTACTGAGTCAGAAATACCCTAGCCTTGGTTCCAACCATCCCCCTGGTTTTAGGGTTTTTATACATCACCTACTCTTAGCAAATGTAAGTATTACAGGCAACACTGCTCTTCATCTCCACTCCTCCCTCCAATTAAAAAAAAAAATTGTCTACCTGGGGCAGCAGTGGTGGAAGGAGCAGGACCTCCTGCTGGTGCAGCACCAGCTGCTGGGGCGGGTCCACCAGCTCCTACATTGCAGATGAGGCTCCCAATGTTGACGTTGGCCAGGGCCTGCAACACACATGCATACACAGTTCACACTCAGTTCTGGCTTTTTGTTAGAGCACTCTCCCCCGACACACACCTCCAAAGGTACCCCCTTCTCCTTGAAGTGACAACAACCAATTCCCAACACTATATTGTTCTTCCTTCTCTGGAGTCTGCCAGACTTAGATTTTTTTTGGTCTGCTACTTAGATTCCCTAAAACTTAGACTAGCTTATGACCACACAGCTCTATTAAAAATTAGTCACACACACAAAAAAAAACTATTCAAGTTTTAAATCTTACAATTGTATTGCCATTATTTAAGTAGCAAGACAGAATAACTAACTGAATTCCTTCCTTGTATAGGTGAAAAAAACTGGCCCCAAAATGCTGGCATAAGTTGTTGGAAAAAAACTCATGCTTCCTTAAACACTCGAACCAGGATTCTTTCCACGGTTCCAGATCTCCTCTTAACAGTGAATTCGATTTTTCAGTCTGCCAAGTCCACGGACTTTATTAAAGAAGAGTACCTTTATTAAAGGCACGGTGTTCTCAATAATTCTTTGGACACAACCTGAAGAGATTAAGTAACATAAGATAGATAGTGTGTGCCAAGTTCCTTGGGTAGGAATCTTGTCTTCCTTAGTCTTTTTATAACCCCCAAAATAGTAAATGGTCAATGAGAGGTCACTACATCCAATTTCCATGAAACCAGACTATCCTGCAGGAATAATCTGCCTGAAATAGCATGGGCGGTATTATCCCCTGGGTGACCGTTTTAAGGAGTCATTTGATGTGCACGTGTATATACCATATATACATTTATGAATGTCATGGCTTCAGATCAGAAGAAAAGAGAAACGAGACTGAAATCAAGAAGAGAAAGACAAGACAGGAGGAAATATCACTTAAAAAAGATCCAGTGGAATATGGCACTTTCCAGCCTTCTTAGTGTTACACGAATACCTGACTTAATAAATCAGTAATGTCCCCAAATTTGCTTCTCCACATCACTCTGCTGCCATCACCTTACCTTTGCAAACAAGCCAGGCCAGAAGGGTTCAACATTCACACCCGCTGCTTTAATGAGGGCATTGATCTTATCCTCCTAAAAAACAGCAAACCAAAGAGCAGTTTTTGTAAACGTCTTCAAAACACTGCAACTGAAAGTCGCTCAAAACGTGTCTCCAAAACCATGTTTAACCACTTTACAGATTCTACCTGTATTTCATGTATGCCTATTTATTTTTTTTTAAATATTTTATTTATTTATTTGACAGAGATCACAAGTAGCTAGGCAGAGAGAGAGAGAGAGAGAGAGAGAGAGAAGAAAGCAGGCTCCCCGCTGAGCAGAGAGCCCAGTGCGGGGCTCGATTCCAGGACTCTGGAATCATGACCTGAGCCAAAAGCAGAGGCTTTAACCCCCTGAGCCACCCAGGCGCACCTCATGTATGTTTACTTAAAACGAACCTTTCTTACGCTCTTACGATTACCACGAGCAAACGAAATGCACTGGGCCCCTCGCTGCCATTTCGCAGGCGGCGACTTGCCCAAGTCACGCCGCTATTTTAAGTTACGAGTCAGGGTGGGAGGTGGAGCAAGCTAACGTCCTCTCCCCAATAGGGCCTACTAAGCGCAGCACAGGAATTCAAGGCCACCAAACAGGGAGTGTCCCAGGTGCTGTTAGGATGCCCACACGCCGCGGAAGTTTCGCTGAAGTAAAATCCAAAGCCGCAGTGCGCAGCCCGAGTGTACTCCAGTCCCCCCGGAAGCTGGAGCACGTGGCCGAGGCCGCCGGGCGCGCTGCACCTGGGCCCCGCCGCTGGCCCCCTTTTCCCCGCCTCCGCCCGGAGGGGCCTGGCAGAGAGGCCAGGCAAGGAGAAAAAACGGCCGCCCGCAGGCCGACCCCGCCGCCGGCCTGGGCCCGCACTCACCGTGACCGTCACCTCATCGTCGTGCAAGATAAGAGCCGAGTAAATGCAGGCGAGCTCCGAGACCGAGGCCATGGTGCTGGCGAGTGCTGAGCGGACGCTGCCGGGCGCGGTGCTAGTCGCCGGATGAAGTGAGGGCCTCACCCCAACACGGCCTTAGCTTCCTCGGAAGAACCGAGCACCTTAGCGGCAGCTGAGGAAAGGACGTTTCGCCCCTGCGCGCAGCCTCTTATACGGATCACGCGGACCAATCGGTGCCCGGACCTGGCGGAAGAGGCGGAGCGAGAACGGCCCGCCCCGACCACTGTTGCGCCTGCGCATAAAGCGTGACTCGCTCATTAGGGAGTTCAAAAAGTTGGTGGCTCTTAAGACTGCGAGTTTCTTGAGTTCGGCTAAAACTCAGGGCTCTTGAAGAGTAAGAATATTTTTAGGAAAAAGCTATCAAAGTAAATGGATTTCACCTCCATCTACTGTAGCCCGTGTGACACTATTTGGACATTTAATGACGTCGTCAGCCTCCCCGCGCTGTGCCCACTTGGAGCGCAGGAGCGAAATTTCAGCTTGGAGGTTTCTGGTGCTTAGCGAAGCGTCTCAGGTAAATTAAGCGGTGGAGGACGAAATGAGAAGCTTGCAGCGCGACGATAGCAGTACCATTGGAGCGCCTACTGTGTCCCAGGCACTGAGTCACACTCTACAAGGATTCATTTAATCCTCACACAGCAGAAGAGGTAAGCACTGTTATTATAAGTATAAAAGATCTATTGGGAATGGAGGGGAACTTTGCAATCAGTTTCAGTTTTTGTTAGCTAAGGCACTCCGTGTTTGGATGGATGTGTTTTGAAACCGCCCTTAAGATGTTCAAGACTTCGTGAAGCAACTGCTGTCTAGGTGCTGCATTGCCATTTTGTATCTTTTTTTTTTTTTAAGATTTTATTTATTTATTTGACAGAGATCACAGGTAGGCAGAGAGGCAAGGGAGGGGGAAGCAGGGTCCCAGGCTGAGCAGAGAGCCCGATGCGGGGCGGGATCCTAGCACCCTGAGATCATGACCTGAGCTGAAGGCAGAGGCTTAACCCACTGAGCCACCCAGGTGCCCCTGTATCTTTTGAACCTTAATAAAAATTGGTATTAGATTCATATTGAGAGTTGGGCGTTTTTGGTTTTTGTTTTTATTTATTTATTTATTTATTTTAAGGTATAATTGACATGACATTTTTATTTCTGGTGTATTGCATAATGATTCGATATTTGTGTGTATCGCAAAACCTACTTCAACCATTTTTAAGTTCTACTCTCAGCAACGTTTAAATATGAAACACAGTATCATTAACTACAGTCACCATGTTGTACATTACATTCAGTGACTTATAACTGCAGGTTTGTAACTTTTGACTCCCTTCACTCTTCCACCCCTCCCTCTGTTCTCCGCATCTATGAGTTTGGTTTATTTATTTTTGTTTGTTGTTTGGATTCCACATGTAAGTGAGATCATAACAGTATTTGTCTTTCTCTGATTTGTTTTGCTTAGTATAATGCCCTCAAGGTCCATCCATGTTGTCTCAAATAGCAAGGTGTTACACTTTTTTACACCTGAATAATATTCCTGTGTGTGTGCATGTGTCACATTTTCTTCATCCATTCAGTCATTGATGGACACTTCGGTTGTTTACGGAAACAACCATATGTCTTGGCCATTGTACATAATGCTGCAGTGAACACGGAAATGAATTTATCTTTTCAAATTAGTGTTTTTGTTGTCTTCTGATAAATATCTTTGAGTGGAATGGATTGATCATATGGTAGTTCTGTTTTTAATTTGGGGGGACCTCTGTACTGTTTTCCACAGCGTTTGCATCAGTTTATATTCCCAGCCACAGTACACAGATGTTTCTTTCTTCACAACCTTGCCACCACATGTTATTCTTGTCTTCTTGATGACAGCTATTCTAACAGGTGTGAGGCAGTATCTCCCTGTGGTCTTAATTTGATTTCCCTGATGGTTGGTAATGTTGAACATCTTTTTCATGTGTCTGCTGGCCATCTGTATGTCTTTGGAAAAATGTCTATTCAGATCTTTTGCTCATTTTTAATGGAATTTTTGTTGATACTGAGTTGTAGGAGTTCTTTATTCGTTTTGGATATTAACCCCTTTTCAGATAGATGATTTACAAAAAATTTCTCCCATTCAGTAGGTTGCCTTTTCATTTTGTTGATGATTTCCTTTGCTGTGCACAAGTTTTCAGTTTGATGTGGTCCCACTTGTTTACTTTTGTCTTTGTTGCCTTTATTTTTGGAGTCAGATCCAAAAATCTTTGCCAAGACCACTGTCAGGGAGCTTATCACCTTTGTTTTCTTCTAGGAGTTTTATGATCCAGGTCTTACATTCAAGTCTTTATTCCATTTTGAGTTAATTTTTGTGTATGGTGTAAGATAGTGGTCCATTTTCATTCTTTTGTGTGATGCTGTCCAATTTTCCCAACACCATTCATTGAGGAGACTGTCCTTTCCTGATTATATATTCTTGATTCTTATATCATAAATTAATTGACCATATATGAATGGGTTTATGTCTGTGCCATTGATCTGTGTGTGTGTGTAAGATTTATTTCAGAGATAGAGAGAGACAAGCAGACTCCCCAGTGAGCGGGGAGCCTGACACAGGTCTCCATCCCAGGATCCTAAGATCATCACCTGAGCTGAAGCCAAGAGTCAGATGCTTAACTGCCCACGCCACCCAGGCACCCCTTAGTATCCCAGACTTTTTAAACAATTTTCAAAAACTATCAAGCTTTCTAAAAATAAAACTTGTTTTGAGTTTTCCTCCAAATCTAGAAACAGTCATAGTGGAATTTTGGTAATTGTATGGAAAAAGGTAAAGCTATTGAAAAATTTGAACATTTCCAAAGCCAAAATGATTCAGTCTAAAACATAGTCATCCGCCTTTCCTGCCCCCAGTGTACTTCAAAACAAAACAAAAAACTGATCTGGCAAATATGATACATCAACACAAAACAAAATATTGCCTGTCTTAAACTATACTAAGAAGAAACCTTTTTAAATCAGTGTTTTGTTCCCCAAATTGTTTTATAACTATAATAGCAAAACCTGAACCTTAGGGTATAAGAGAGGCAAATTATAAGTTCTTCTCACTTATAAACGTAAACACAAATCTAAAATGTGAATGTCAATTATATCAGTAAAACTGGAGAAACTAGAAGATTAATGAACTGAATGCAGTACTGTATATAAAAATATGGTGTACTAAGGATAGTTCAATGAAACATCTATTAAAAGTAATCCATTAACAAAGAGGAAAATCTCGATGAAATTCTTATAGATTCAGAAAAACGACTTGATAAAATTAAGTAACTATTAACATAGACTCTTACAAAATTGGAAGAAAAGATAACTTTCATATCCTGATAAGATATCTACTAAAAATCTACAGCAAACGTCATTCTTAATGGTGAAACTTTAAAACCTACTCTTTAAAATCAGGGACAAAGATGTGTCCTTTCTCTGCTTCTACTTCAATTACAATTACTTCAATTACAATTTTACAGTTTAGCCATCTCCATAAGACAAGAAAAAAGGTATTAAATTGGAAAGTTGTAAACTCCACTATTCATAAATAATATGATTATTTATTTACCCAAAAGTTCCAAGAGAATCCATAAGCAAACAAATCAACCTAGATTCAAGATTAATACATAAAAGCCAGCAGCATTTCTGTGTTCAGCAAAAGTCAGTTATAAAATGTAGTATTAAAAATTACACTTCATACAATAACAACAAAAATCATATAGTTTCTAGGAGTAAATCTAACAGTTTATGCATGATCATTATTTTTAAAATTATAAAATTTAAAGGAACAACATCAGAAGCAACCTAAATAGAGTGATATACTATATTCCCAGATGAAAAGGTCTTAAAGTGGGTAATTCTCTTCAAATTATGTCATTTCAATCAATATTCTATTAAGGTTTTTGATGAACTTTGACCAGTTGTCCTTAAAATTTTCAAGGAAGGATCAAGGACCAGTAAAAATGAAGGCAGTGTTTTATTTATTTAATTTTCTAAAGATTTTATTTATTTATTTGACAGAGAGAGACTTCAAGCAGGGGGAGAGGCAGGCCTCCCCAGCTGAGCATTGGGCTTGATTCCAGAACCCTGGGATCATGACCCCAGCAGAAGGCAGATGCTAAACCAGCTGAGCCATCCAGGTGCCCTGAAGGCAATGTTTTAAAGTAATAATAGAGGTTTACCTTAATGTCAGTTCCATGGAGGGCATACACTTTGGTTTGCCACATTGATTGTGCCTAAAACAGTGCCTGGCATGTAGAGGCCACTCAACTAAATACATGCTGAATGAATTAAAGCTGTGTTATTGACATGCAAGTAGAGAAACAGAGCAATAGAACAGAGAACCTAGAAACCCACTGTCATACATATGGGAACTTAGTAAGTCAGAGGTATGACTTTATAAATGGGGAAGTGTAGTGGTTGGGGGAAGAGTGCCTTTTCAAAAAAAAAAAAACAAACAAACTACTGGGACACTTAATTTTCTATCCATATGGAAATGTGGAAAGAATGTTTTTAACTCCATCCTCATCATACATAATGTGAAAAGGAAAACTAAAATTTTAGAGGAATACAGGAATTTACTATTATTAAGAGTATTTGAAAAATTTCTTAAGGCACAAAACATAAAAAGATTCCTAGGTTTGATTATATTAAAATTGAAAACTATAAGCAAAAAACCCCATGAACAACGTCTGAAAAACTGTGACAGCCAGGAGTCTAAGAAAACACAATGACTAAATGTGATATGGTTTCCTAGATGGGATCCTGGGAAGGACAAAAGACATTAGTTCAAAACTCAGGAATTCCAAATAAAACATGGACCCTAGTTAATAACAACATATTAATATTGGTTTATTAATTGTAACATATTGATATGTTAATAATGGGGAAACTGTCTCTGAATATGAGGGAACTCTCTATCCTCATAATTTTTTGGTAAAGCTAAAATAATTCTAAAAATTGTTTGTTTAAAACACTATAACCAAAGCGAAAAAAAATGTCAGATTGGGAGAAGATAGGAGGTCCAAAGTACCCAAAAGCTATATAAAGTCCCATAAACCAATAAGAAAGACATAGCTATCCTGTTTTGCAGAACATCAAAAATTAGGAAGTAAGGGGCACCAGGCCAGCTTAGTCCATAGAACATGACATTTGATCTTGAGGTCCTGAGTTTAAGCCGCACAGTGGGCATAAAGCTTACTTTAAATAAATAAAATTATCAACTAAAAGTAACTATCTAGGGCTAAGAAATTTTTACTTAAACTGTAAAAATGAGACACAGTCATTAGCAAAGTGGTTAAAAGTTTAGATGTCAGGCTCAGACTTGGGCTTAAATATCAGCTGTACCACTTGTGATTTTGGGGGTCCTTGAGCAAGTCATTAATCCTCTCAATCTGTTTCTTCACCTGTAAATTATAGCTAACACCTGGACAGGGTGTCAGGCACCGAGCACCCAGTTAACCACAGCTATTGCTCATGAATGTTTAGAACTCTTTAAGCAAAACATCAGTTGCCCATTCATTTCCCTTTATGTGTGGTTCATGGACTCGGGATTCGACATCATACTTTGGACAAATTCTACTACCCCTCATTCCCCTGTCATAGTACAATCATTCTGTTAAGGTGTATTTTCAACAGACTAAGC